ACTACCTTCCACTACACTTCACTACATTACACTACACTACACTCCACTACACTACAACTACAACTTGAACTACAACTACAACTACACAACTACATTCCACTACACTCCACTACACTACACTACATTACACTGCACTACATTACACTACACTACACTACGCTACCTTCCACTACACTTCACCACCTTCCACTACACTTCACTACATTACACTACACTCCACTCCACTACATTACACTACACTACATTGCACTACATTACTCCACACTACACTCCGCTACACTACAACTACAACTCCAACTACACAACTACACTCCACTACACTCCACTACACTACACTAAATTATACTACATTACACTACATTCCGCTACACTCCACTACACTACATTACACTACACTACCTTCCACGACACTCCACTACACTAAATTACACTACACTACATTACACTACACTACATTCCACTACACTCCACTACACTACATTACACTACACTACATTACACTGAATGACACTGCACCACAGATAGACAGGTAGACAGATAGACCGATAGATAGATAGATAGACAGATAGACAGGTAGACAGCTAGACAGATAGACAAATGAAAGCGAGAGAGAGAGAGAGAGCTAGATAGATAGATAGACAGATAGATAGATAGACAGATAGACAGGTAGACAGCTAGACAGATAGACGGATGAAAGAGAGAGAGAGAGAGATAGATAGATCGATCGATCGATCGATAGATAGATAGATACATACTAGTAGAAGATAGATAGGTAGGTAGGTAGATAATCAGAGAAAGAGAGCGAAAGAGAGGAGACCTCAAGCACCTTTCGGTCCATCAGTGGATTCGCTCTGCCATCCCTGATTCACAACAACCAACCTCTCCTACAGGTTTCCTATTTTTGAAACTTCCGCCACCGCCTTGTGCGGTACTACTGGTATTTGTTCAATCTATTTGGAGGTTTTAGGATATCCAAACATCTCAAAGCCATCTCTAAGGCCTTGGCCCTTGTGGTGCTTCTCTTCAGTTTCCTGGTTCAACATCAGCTGGCTTGGCGCAACTCGGAAGTGTCCAGCCTCGACAGTTTGACGCGTGCGCCGGTGCTACTGGGCCGTGCTGTATATGGACCGGAAGGGCGCCGCAAGCTGCGGGATGTGTGAAAGTTCTGAGGCAGGGAAACATGTTGGAGAATGTGGTGTCCCAGTGATGCGTGTTAGTTTATAAACACCATATAAACACCATTCATATCCATTAATTGTAGATATATCAGCCATATTCTACCATCAACCATGGTTCACCAACATTGCTAAGTATGGGGCGCCACCTCATGGAGAAGATGGGATTGTGACCAGCAAAGATGGAGAGACTAGGTGATATGACTGTGATTTTAAATGACCTTAATCAATCTGCAGCCAAAATGGACAAATTGTGATCTTCAGGAGAAAACAGGACGAATGGTCAGATATCAAGCAGCAAAAGTGAAGATTAAACGAGGCCGCTGGCAGATTGACATCGCGTACAGCCTTGACTCCGAGCGCAGTGCAGCCAGTGACACTGCTGAAACGAAAAAGTGATTCTGCACAAGACATCATGGCAATAAAATTTCAAGATTTGGATCCCCAAAGCATCAAATGAACTCGATTAAATCGACATCCTTCACTCAAAGATTTCGGACAAAAAGGCATTCAGGTGATTCAGGTGTTTGTTTTTTCCCCAAATTCTTTTGGCCAAACCAGTCCATCGCGACGATTTGGGGTACCCGAATCTTGAGGCCATTGCATTTGTACAGAGCCACCTGACAGGAAGAGATGGCTTCTCCATAGTGGTGTAGATTGTTTTTTTACTTTGAGCGAATTTATGTTCCTTTTGCGAGTCATTTGAAGGTAGCGGCTCGTGTCTCAGAGCCCTCCCAGCAATAGTCTGGGGTGAAAAGAGGCCCCGAATCAAGAATTTGGAGCGCGGAATCAAAGCTGTATCTGTAGACACTGATATTTCACATCCAAATCTATTGCCGGAACTGGAGTGCGAAACGCTCACTGAGCACCACACATTAGTGCTCAAAAAGGAGCTTCTGCAAGCTGCAGGTTGGGAATCTTCTGCGCGATGTTTTCCCAAAAACGATATGATATGATATTATATAATATAATGAAATACAATATAAAAATATAATATTATATATATATCATATAATATCATACCATATATGATAATATAATATGCATACATGACATACATAATATATATATATATACATACATCTATATACTACAATATGTATATATAATTATATATATACACATACTATAAACATATATATATATTGTTTTTGTGGTGGATTCTGTTTGCTTTACCTTAGCATCTTGACGGTCAACACGCCTCAATGGATCCCGTGGCCAGGCTGTACCTGGGTGTTCCCTCGCTCGCTTGGGCACTGAGCATCGCGTTGGTTCTCATAAGGGGGTGATGGGTAGATTTTACGGCACTTGTAACTGATTTATTGGGGATCTCTATGACCATCTATAACCATCATCAACCATCTATACACGCGTAACATACCCATAAGAATCCATGAGAGGGATACATAGTAAACAACTACTACAATGGGATGGGAGGGATGATAGGGGCCTTTTTATCCTGGCTTGGAGGCACATGGCTTGGAGGCACAAGGCTGAACAGTGTCCTCAAGGATGGCCCAACATGTTCTCACCCTTTTCGATGCCAGCCCTCCAGAGCCCTCAGAGACTGCTCCACCCCCGGAGCCCTCGCCACCGGAGCCATCGCCACCAGCAGAGCCATCGCCACCAGCAGAGCCTTCGCCACCAGCAGAGCCTTCGCCACCAGCAGAGCCTTCGCCACCACCGGAGCCGGCGCCACCACCGGAGCCGGCGCCACCACCGGAGCCAGCGCCACCACCGGAGCCGGCGCCACCACCGGAACCGGCACCCAGAAAGGTGCTATGGGCCGCGGGAATCATGTCCTTGAACAGATCTTTGAACTCACCATGTGCAATGTTTCGGGTATCTGCTCTCCGCTGAGTGATTTCATTGTTTTGAAAGCGATCCACAGTTTTGACGATGAGTTTCAATGACTATTTTTGGGGGAGAAGGTTAGTAGACACCACCAATCAGCATCAATCAGCTATCAGATTTGAGAGATGAG